CTGGTCAACTTACATAACCAACCTGATTTCTCATTTCACTTGTAAAATGGTAATATTTATATTTGTCTCTTAGGTTATTATATTGTAAATAATACAGGCTAAGAAACTGAAATGATTGTATTCAACAAATTTTGGTTCTGTTTCTTTTTTACTTAACCTACCATAAGATATTTCTTAAAGAACAACACAGTTTAAAAGTTCTTACTTATAGACTATCAACAGAGATAATTTCAAAACTAAAACTCTCTGCATGCTTGGTTATAAACATAATCTCCATTAGCCATTTCACTCTACTCATTACTTGGTTTCAAACTCAAGGAAAACAATGTTAGAGATTTGCTGTTACACAGGGCTGTTTAACATGCCTTATTTTATTTATCCAAGTATTTCCCCAACTGCCTTGTGGGATTCTACTACAGGCATATACACTTAGTACTATTTTATAGTGCCTCAAAAACAAAAGCAGCAAAATATCCTAGAAAATGACTCAAAATGACCAGCTAGGAGGCACCAAGAAAAAGATGAGTTAAACAAAGGAGAAGGCTACAATGCTTGATAAGAAAAGTACTCATTATCTTGCCCATGTAATTGCAACCCCTCTGTACGGTATTTTCACAATAAAAAAAGAAAAAGATGAGTTATTCATTCTGTGTCAAATGTGAGGAAATGCATGTACAGGCTGGCAAGTAAATCCAAGTCCAAAACAGTTCTTTCAAGAAATAGAATCATCTAAATATTTTTTGCTGTCTTTAATTCTGATCTGAACATGAGCTGATACTCAGTAGTTTTTAAACAATCAGATTCTATAAAGAAATTTGCCATCATATATCCATGAAAGTCATCAGAATAATGGGTCCAGATAAGGCTCAATTAGTTTAAAAGCAAGCAATACTCAGGGCAGAAGTCACTTGCAAAACAGGCTGCCAAAGTGGTGCATGTGTGCCATCTAGTGGGAAAAAGAAAAAGTGACCTGAATTCTGTAGTTTTGCAAAGGCAGTAATAAGGAACATGCTATTAAGAACAGTAAATTACACTCCATAAAAGATAGTGGAGAATCAAAATGTTGGGGAAATAAGGAGGATAAATAAAGAGATGACAAATTTGTGTGAGAGGAACTTAGTGTTTATGGAAACTAAGGAATGGAAACCAAAGACATGCTTTTTTTTTCCCTCCAAAATCATATAATCATTAGAGCCCATCTCAATGTGTAAAAGACATACAGGAAGAAAGATTTCCTACTAGCCAAGAGCAACGGACAGTAAGAGAGCAGGCAGCTGCTGGGGAAAGAACAGGGAAATGGGCCTGTGAGTTTGTATGGGGTTAAAAAGAAGAATCAAGTCTCACTCAAATAATTCTTTCTAAATTGTACCCTCTAGTATAATGGATGCAGGACAGTATTGTGTCATGTTTCTGTGAGAACACAATTTCTTATACCTGGCTTTATAATAGTAGCGACTGTGCTTTATTAGAACTATTTTTAATTATGTTGCTCAAGAATGTTTTATTTCCAGATGATTGAGAAGCTAATGAAAAAAAAGGTTTAAAAAATAAAATGAAGGGCTGGGAAGGTGGCTCAGTGGTAGAGTGCTTGCCTTGCATGCATAAGGCCCTGGGTTCGATTCTTCAGCACCACATAAACAGAAAAAGCCGGAAGTGGCGCTGTGGCTCAAGCGGTAGAGTGCTCGCCTTGAGCTGAAGAGCTGAGGGATAGTGCCTAGGCCCAGAGTTCAGGTCCACGACCAGCAAAAAAAATAAATAAATAAATAAATAAATAAAATGAAAACAAGTCGTTTAAATAAGGACACAGGTGGACTCGTTGTAACAATGACAAGTACAAGTTGTCATGTCGAAATGAACTTTACAACTTTGGTGGGGGGGCGGGGAGGATTAGGTGGGGGGGCGGGGTGAGGGAAAGGATGGGAAGGGATGGGAAGGGGAAACAAAGGAGGAGGCTACAATGCTTGTTAAGAAATGAACTCATTATCTTCCCCATGTAATTGTAACCCCTCTGTACAGTTTTTTCACAATAAAAAATAAATAAAAATTAAAAAGAAATAAAATGAGCCGGGTGTTGGAGGCTCACACCTGTAATCCTAGCTAATGAAGCAGCTGAGATCTGAGGATCACAGTTCAAAGCCATCCTGGGCAAGAAAGTCCATTAGATTGCTATCTCCAATAAACCACCAGAAAACTGGAAGAGGCGCTGTGGCTCAAGTGGTAGAGCGCTAGCCTTGAGCTGAAGAGCTAAGGGACAGTGCCCAGGCCCAGAGTTCAAGCCCCACGTCTAAATAAGGAAATAAAAATGAAACAGAGGCTCCCATCGGCTTGGAGATTCTTATTCAAGATCACCATTGTCTGCCTTCTACCCCTGCAGGCAAGAAGGCAAACCAAGGAACCAGAGGTCTTTCGGGAATGCAGAAAACTTAAAACGCTTGCTTTCAAAGTGAGAAAATGAGGTTAAATAAAAAATTTCAGAAGCTACAAAATACTTGAGAAGTACGATCTTGTGTCATTCACTTCTTATCTGTAAAACTACAGCCTTGGAACAAATGAATTTAAGATTGCTGTTCACTCTAAAATTGAACGGCTTTAAGCATGAAACGAGATTAGTAAAAAGAAAATGCATGTTTTTTTTTCTCCATTAAGTCACATAAACATTAGAATGTACTACAAGTTCTGAAGAGGAAACAGATGACTGACTCCAACCAAAAGAGAAACCAGGTAGAAAAATAAGACACTTGCTTATTTTACAGCAAGGCACAAATAATGGTCAGGTCAGAAAAGAGACAGATGAAATGCAATAACAGGCTGAGAATTTAGCCTAAACAGCAGATAACTTTGGCCTATGTACCTTTCTGAGATTCACTGTGTAGGTAGGAGGTGAAGGAGGGTAAAGAATGGGGAGATGGGAGAGTGGGTTGTGGTTAAGAAGGAACAGAGCAAAATCAGCAACTGTCAGACAGCTGCTAGACAGGTTTCAGTTACTGGAAACAGGTCAGAAAGGAAAGGTGAATCTATTCTGGCATCCCTTACCTGGAGAACCACATGAGAATTGAGACAGGCAAATGAACCTGGTCAACTCAATGGAAGTAAGGTAAAATTTGAGCAAGAATCCACAGGATGTACATGCCAACTGGATGTATAAGCAATGCACAACAAGTTAAAATGGAAGAAGTTCCTGTGTGCAGGGAAAGGCAGTGTTGACACAAAACCACACAGAAGCCATACTTGTGTCAGTATATTCTCATTTTACATTTAACTACTACTATGAAAGATGAGATAGCTATTTGCTGGGCACAGGTGGCTCATGCCTGTAATCCTAACTACTCGAGAGGTTAAGATTTGAGAATCAAGGTTCAAAGCCAGCCTGGGGAGAAAGTCCCCTGACACTCATCTCCAATTAACCACTCAAAACCCAGAAATGGAACTGTGGCTCAAAGTGATAGATTGCTAGCATTGAGCAAAAGAGCTCAGGAATAGCACTCAGGCTCTGAGTTCAAGCCTGAACAATTTAAAAAATAATAATAATTAAAAAAGAGCTATTTATCTGAAAGTTTTTTTTTTTTCTTGGTGCCTGTCCTGGGGCTCAAACTCAGGACCTGGCCTCTGAGCCTCTTTGTGCTTAAAGCTAGCTAGCGTTCTACCACTTGAGCTACTTCCAGCCTTTTTTGAGTAGTTTATTGTAGATAAGAGTTCTCAGGGACCTTCCTGCCCAGGGCTGGCTTTGAACTGTGATCCTCAGATCTTAACCTCCTGAGTAGCTAGGATTATAGATGTAAACTACTGGTGCCTGGCTATCTGAAAGTTTTTAAAAAATCATTGCCTTTCTCCTCTACAGTTTTATTATCTAGGTTCTGATCCAGGTGATATTTTTCATATGTTTATATTTTAAATTTTTCATATTTTATATTTTTCATATAAAAGAACCTGGTATAAATATGCTCACTGTGGTTTGCTTCTTTCACTTGATTTCATAAATTATGACCAGGTATGTGTAGTATAGATTATTCTTTTGGAATGGTATTTTATAGTCCACTGTGTGAATATACACTGATTTATCTATACTACTGCTGAGGTATGACAGTAGGTACTACCTACTACAACTGTGCTTGCAGATGCTACCCAAACATATCTGCTCATGTTTTTTGTTTTAAAGTATTTACCTTATTTTCTAGAGTACCTAGAAGTAACCGGCTGGGTCACAGGATAAGCATACTTTACTAGTTGATAAGACAATGAGTTTGCAAAGGTGTAATATCAATTCCTAGAACTGACAGACTAAGAATATCCCAATTTCAATGTGTACTTCTGCAAATATTAATGAGATTTCTGTCTACTAACCAGTCAAATTTCTTCTTTTTGAAGTTCTTTCCTAATTGCTCTGCCAGTGTTCTCTACATATTATTGATAATAAGCTTTTCTCAGTTACCAGTTTCAAATATGCTTCCTTTAATCAGATAGTAGGAACCCCCACACTGCTTGGGACATAGAGGCAGAAGTTAAACACTACAAGAGTGCTATCAAATCCTATTAATGTACTGTTGATGTGGATGGCAAGCTTTCATTGTAAATATCTCTTCTTATACAGTTTATATATTCCTTTAAATGTTCTAAGACCTTGAGGTTGGGGAGGTCTGACTCATGAACTGACAGCTGTTAGACCCTTTGCTGGAGTCTTGACTGGGCTATTTTGATCCCAAAGCACAGTTCTAGCTCCAGAAGGGAAAGAGTGTTCCAATAGGCACCCTGCTCTAGACTTTTGCTGTCATAGCCCTCACTAAACTCTAGAAGACCTTGTAAGCCATTTCCATACCAAAAGAGAAGGAAAAGACCTGTAACTGGTGCAAACCTAAGTCCTTTGTTTACATAAATACTGGGGAAAAAGACTGACTGGTGCCAACATACTCCTTCACTTATATGAGGAGACTGCTATGACTGGTACACACACCCTTGTCACATCTCATTTCTCACTACTCAAGCAGAGCATGTGTTCAGCTCACTTGGTTTGCAGCTAGAAGACACCCAATCCTGTGCTGCCCCTGGTGTTGGGGTGGTGGGTCCAATAAAGAATTCTCTTGTGTGGTCTTCCTTGTCTATTTTTGATTTCTCATCATTAGTAGAGCAGCTGAGCTGGTAAAACAAAGAGAAGAGAGAGAAAAAAAAGAGGTAAGGACAATGGTAGTGTGGCTAGAACCATTCCAGAGAAAACAGCAAAATGGCTGACTACTAGTTCCCAGCCCAGCATGGGCAGCACTGGGTGGACTGTGGCCATCAAGCCTGCCATCCACAGCAGCAGGGAAGCAGTTCTTATGGTGATGGTGACACTAGCCAGAGTGTTTTTCAAGATTTCCTTAAATGAAGACTTCCTAACTTTAGTTTCTGTAATAAGGCTTAAATGAGATTTCTTTTTCTCAAGAAGCTTCAGAGACTCAACTTTTAAAGGGAAGAGGAAAACTTGTCAAAAATCATCCACCAGAAAGAGTCCCTTACTACTTCTATGCTCCCAGAAGTGGAGGAAAGAAAACTCAAGTTTTCCTTGTTTCAGATAAAAGCCAATTTTAAGTGGAAGAGAACTTTCCAGAGATACTATGCCTTTATTTGGTTTCTTTCTCACTTACCTGATATTTTAGCAGGGATTTTTTTTAAGTTTTCTTTTAAAGCAAATTTGCTATATAACCCTGGCTGGCCTTCAACTCCCAATACTCCTCCATCAACCTTCTAAGTGCTAGAATTACAGGCATGCATCACGGCATCCAGCTTCTGAAGCTGTTTTTATTTTAAAACTACAAATTAAATTTCTCTAATTCAGATTGTATTAGTGAGCTCAGGTAACTTGTACATCACAAGAAATTAATCCATCACATCAAAATTTTTTTGTCAAATTTATTCATGTAGTTACTTACAGTATTCCTTTGTATATTTTACTTCACGCCCCATATATCGCTAAATCATGTCTTCTCTCTTCTGGAGAGGTCAGTTTTGTTAAAATATTGCCCATTTCATTTTTAATGTTTTCCATTTGTAAGATTTCCAAGCTTCTACTTTACATTTTATTTGCAGAGACTTTGTTGAGAATTCTCCATTGTTTGTTTTATATTCGTAACTGCTTGTTGAATGAAATGCTATCTTCATGGCTGCCTTAAAAATCTCTATCTGATAGTTCTACCATCTGTGTTACCTCACTGAGAGCATGAATTATCTTTTGTAAGTCAAGCTGAGGCATTTTTTGGTTCTTGGTATGAAAGATTACATATGGAAACCTGGCTATTTGGGATATTAAGAGATTTGGGATCTTACTTAAATCACCTGCTCTATCACAGTAGGCTTCCTCTGAGACTACTGTGGTGAAGAACAACCCAGCCAGACAGAAGCAGCTTCCTACTAGGCTTCTGCAGGAGAGCAGGAGGTGGGGACAGAGAAGGGAAAAAGTAATTCATACAGTGGGATTATGGGCATTCAAGCTCCTTGTCAATGGGCTCTCCTCCCACTTTTCCTCTATTGATCTTATGGTAGGAAGATTTACCTTGTTACAATCTGAAAATGTTGAGAAAGTCTAGATTCTTACCTGCCTGGGGGGGGAGGGGTGTGTGTGTGTGTGTGTGTGTGTTGCCCCTTTCTGAAACTTCTCTCTCCTCTCTCTCTGGGGGGGAGGGGAGGGTGTGTGTGTGTGTGTGTGTGTGTGTGTGTTGCCCCTTTCTGAAACTTCTCTCTCCTCTCTCTTTCTGTCTCTCTCTCTTTCTGTCTCTCTCTCTCTCTGTTGCCCCTTTCTGAAACTTTTCTGTATTTTTAGGTTACCCTTCCCCTGGGCCTTGGTTTTAAGAAAACAGATTTTTCTTGGATTGCTATCTTCTCAACACCCATTCTGGATTATTTCTGGCATTACAAAAACCCTGCCCTTTTCTCTCCATTTTTCAGTCTTCTCAGGTAGGTTTTACATATTACCCAGGGTTTTTAGCTGAATACTTTGGAGGTGGTGGTCTGTACTATCATTTCTAAGTTTTATTTTTCTTCATAGTTAAGCTTCAGGGAGATTATGTGTTAAAGAATTGGATCTGGGACTCAGAGAAATTTTCCTGGTTCATTTTATTAATTTGCTTACTTCACAAAACATGTAGTATTGCCTTTCTAGGGGAAAAAAGACAAATAAGCCTTAAAAAAAAACTATATGCTGGTTAAAAATGACCAAGAAGTCAAAACCTATGTATTGGCTAACTCACTGATCAAACTGTGAAGTCACACAGTACTTATGAAAAAGGGTAAACCACAAAAAAAGTGTACAGTTGACACAACTATTAGACTGGGCCATGAATGAGGAATTGCAAACAAATTTAGATCTATCTCTATGATCTTGTTCATTCTCTGTATACTCTGAGACACAAGTATGGTAGTCTCCATTAATCAACTGAAAAAGTATGCTTTGTTCTTAGTTTCTTTTTTTTTTGTCAGTTGTGGAGCTTGAACTATGGGCCTGGGCGCTGTTCTTCAGCTCTTCAGCTCAGGCTAGTGCTCTACCACTTGAGTCACAGCACCACTTCCGGCTTTTTTCTTTTAGCTTATGTGGTACTGAAGAATCGAACCCAGGGCCTCATGCATGCAAGGCAAGCGCTCTACCACTGAGCCATCTTCCCAGCCCCAAGTTTATGAATTTTTTAATAAAAATTTAAACTTTTTAGAAGATTTCTTTTAGGAAGCCATCTACCTAGAGTTTTCTCCTGATTCTATGTGGCTTTCAGTGAGAATATAGGATAATAGGAGACATATGCACAATCCTAGCTCAGTACTACTACAATTCCTACATTCATAGTCTGTATACTTTCCTTGTCTCACAGTGATTAGAACTACATGAGTTTGGCATATATGCTCTCTTTCCATGAACTATGGACATCTGTAAAGCAGAAAGTTTCTGCTTACTTTGCTAAAATTTCCCAAACTAAAACATGCTGCACTGTTTATATATGATGTTAAAAATATATTTTGAGTTTAGTGAAGATGATTAATCATGCAGCATTAGGAAGCCAGCAAATATATTAACAATGAAATCCAAGCAAACAGTTTGCTGGTGTAGAAACAACCACTACCAAGATACCCAACAGTGTCTCATGCAGTCCTCATATTCCCAAGGCAGGAATGAACAGGAGAGAGAAGTGCTTTGGTTAAGTACATGATGAAAAAATAATTACTGGGAAACAACAAACAGCAGATGGCCAATCCAGCAACAGCCTTAAACAGGGTAGCTCTTTAGGAATAAAGGCAATAGGGAATTATAGATAGAATCTGTGAATCCAAAGCAGTTCACAAATTTTGTGCAGTTTCAAAAATATACAGAATAAAAGCAAGTCCATTGCCTTAAACTTGTGAAGCTTCACTGGACCATCTTTACTTGTAACAATTGCCAGTGATGACCAACTACAGTTGCCTGTGTAGTCACAGACAGGATCCAAGTTCAGAGGAAAACCTATCACTCTAGTATTCTTGTTTTGCCAGGTATTTAATTTGCTAATTAATTCTGGAGTATTATAGTACACCAGAAATGTTCAAGGGCAATTAGTCTAGGATGCAAAAATAATATGCACAGACATATAAGGAAGAACCCAGGCTTGTTGCTGACAAATCCACGGCACATATGCTCACATTTATTTATGTATGCACCACCTTCTATTCTGTATCTCATTTCCACATTCCTGTCGTCTACTGTCTTCTCTTGACAAAAGTAGAAACAGCCTGTTTCAGTGGCTCATGCCTGTAATCCTAGCTACTTGGGAGGCTGAGATATGAGTATCATAATCCAAAGCTAGCCTGGACAGGAAAAGTCTGTGAGACGCTATCTCCAATTAACCACAAAACAGCTGGAAGGGGAGCTGTGGCTCAAGTAGTAGAGCATTAATCTTGAGTAAAAAAAAAAAAAAAAAAGCTGAGAGTACAAGGCCCTGAGTTCAAACCCAGTACCAGCACAAAAACAAGACAAACAAAAATAGTAGAAACAAAAAGACATACACAAGTTGTAGTGCTTGCCAAGGCAAGCTGAATCTGCACTCAACTGAAGCTTTCATTTATGCCATTACTCGAGTATTCTGGACATTGAGCTGTGTGTTAAATGGATGAGACAAAATCATCACTTTTATCCTTAAGTTCATCAAAAAAGTTAATATTCAACCCATGGCCCACAGCATCCCCATCCTTACACTTTTTGAATTTAACCCAGGCCTCCACTCCTTTCCAATCATTCCAAACCTTTCTACAGTCACCAGAGCTACAAATCCCTCTCATTCTAATTGTTTTCTTTCAAGCATCTGCTTTGCTTATTTGCTTTGAATGAAATCTTGTGTTATCTCAAAGACAATCAAGGTATGGAATTTAAGTTGCCTAAGAAAGTCAGGGCACAAAAGACCTTCTGAGATCAGTGTTCATACTGGTGGTATAAAGTAAACTACCCAAAAAAGAGATAGTGGTTATAGCAGGTCATGTGATTGATGTCTATAAGTGGGCCAGTTTCTGAGGATGACTAGCTCCAGGCAGTGACCATGGGTACAGGTGGCTAGGGATACATGGCCAGATTATTCTAGATGAGTAATGTTAATAAACTAAAGATGCTTTGCTCTCAAATGGTGCTACAAGCAGTATTCCCAACTACACATGCTCTTTTTTTTTTTTTTGGACCAGATGTGCAAACCCCATTTCTTTTTTTTAATATATATTTTTTATTGTGAAAATACTGTACAGAGGGGTTACAATTAAATGGGTAAGATAATGAGCACATTTCTTATCAACAATTGTAGCCTCCTGCTTTGTTTCCCCTTCCCATCCCTTCATATCCTCCCCCCCCCGCCCACCCACCAAAATTGTAAAGTTCGTTTTTCGACATAACGACTTGTACATCTCATTGTTGCAATGGGTCCTCCTGTATCCCTGTTTTAACAATTTGTTTTTTCCCTTCCCCTCCACATATACCAACATAATATATAGTGAAAGCAGGAGTTATACCAGACACCTGCTATTTTAAAGTCCATGTTACTGGGCTCTAAGACCCAGGTCTCCTTTCTATGATGGTCTCCCAGTCTCCTAGTCAGGCCCCTCACAGACAGAACTTCTAATACTGAAGTCTTCCTCTTTACCCAGGACTTTCAGTTCTC